CCTTTCAACTATGCTCTCTTATGTTACTTTTCAATACATTTCAGCCAAACAGTAGTATACAGTATAAGAAGAGTTGAAAGGAATAATTTAATTTATGACACATTTTATAATATTGCAACTAATCTATGCATTGAGCATGGTGGAAAAATAGACACATTTACTGACCAAATAATATATTTCCCGTCCACATGACTATAGTGTGATGGTTGGCAAAATATAAGAGCACCAGGCTAGCAAATACAATCACGTAATGTACAGTTAGTATATATTGGGGCCGCACTCTTATGGCCAAATATATACTACAGGCGCGCGTCAACGTATAGAAAGCTGTCATGACTGCCAACATAATTGCAGTTTTGTAACCTATGATTTAATTGAATGTTATTATGGTATGTTATTATACTGTATATTGAATAAAGTGAAATACAAATACCCTTCACGTTAGAGTAATATCGGAAAAAAGTTGGCGAAAAGTCAATGAATGCGGTCTCGCAGACGATAATAGTAGAGAAACATACGGCACCCAACCCTATGATCAACAAACGGGACATTTCTGATGTCTCCTCATACAAGTGGTCGTCCAAACTGTCGATCACTTGGAACGAAGAAAATCTTCTCTTTCGTTGCATTGTTTGCAACCGTTTAGAGTCCCGGCGCTCATAATCAGTCAAATTAAAGCCGGTCACTTGTATGGAGAACCTTGGTGCTCTCGGTGCTCTCTAAGCTATGAACAGCTTATTATCCCATAGAGATTCTTAAAAATGCCAAACAAAATTCCCGAGTTTATCACTTTAGATGTGGATTACTTCGGTACCACAAATGATAAAAATAAAATGGCCACACCATTTTAATCATTATGAACACATATTTCAAATAAATTTATTAGATTTCACAATTAGACTTAAATTCAATTTATAAATTACGTTTAGATTTACTGCCAATTTCATTCCCCAAAAGTTATTATACAAATGATTGTATAAAATTGTAATGAGATTAAGTTATGTAAATTAAATTTGTAAACTTACATAGGCTAGGTTGGCGTAACATAATAAAAAAGTGTACACATATTTGTCAAACTTGGATATGTTTTCAATCGATGATTTACTTGAGATTTCACTATCAGATAAAGTTTTCAGATTACTTTTATTATCATATTTTTCGATTGTATTATTTTCATTTAGATCTAAAATAGATTTAAGTTTTAAACTACTATCGTTTTTATCACTCATATTTTTCATTATTGCTAATAAATATTAATTATTTACAAAATAAAACATAATCATAAAATTTTTTAATAAAATATAACAATCATTTTTTATATATCCCTTATTCGAAGCATTTTATTTTTAAAAAGTTTCGATTTCTCTTATGAAATGAGTTTTTATATGACTTATGTTTTGTGTAATAATTAGTTATTGGTTGCCATAAATATCTCATATTAATTATCACAAGAATTATATATTTGATAAGAAATTACTAAATTACAAAAGTATATACCAATGAATTTCTATTTGGATTACTGTATTAATTAACAATTCTTTTAAATGACTCAATAGTTCTCAAAACTAAAGTGAATTTAAGTGTATAGTCTGTACTGTACTCTCTTAATACTAACTTACCACTCAACACCTGAGCCCTTGTCGAAACAGTATATAACAGAACAGTATTCCCCTTTATTTTACTTACATTTTCAAAATAAACAGTTTCAATAGTCTATTTAGAATCCAAATATGTTACTTTAAGCCAATTATAAACATAAACTAAAGTTATCATATAAAAGTAAAATATGCAATATTTAAAAAGTTATCGCCACTTTTTTCAATAACTGTGCTTGAACAATATACTGTTCGACTGCATTTTCTATAATGAATATATTAGCGTTTAGTCATAATTATTAAGCGCTTTTTTATAACTTTCCCTGCCACTATTATTTTTACAAATAAGTCATGTGTTTGACGCAAACAATCAAATCAAATGAAATCTAACTTTTTGGAATCACTTTCAACACGAAGTTGGTTTTCAAAGTATATCGACATTTCACGCAAAAAACTAAAAACTATAAACTAAGATGATATTTTCAAATATGTAAATGATATTATATTCACTAATATTTGCATTAAATTAATGGAAATCATGTTTATATTTTTAAAATTATTTATCGTTAGAATTTAATTGTTCACCTAGTACCAGTATAAATATTTCTTAATATAGTGAAAGATGATTTTATGGATATATAATTTAGTGAAAACCCCATTTGAATTTATATATAGTAATTTTATTATCCAATATTGAAATAAATATAAGAATATAAAACATCCTAGTGCATTAATGATTACATTTATGAAAATAATAAATTCGTTTCATTATAATTAAATTAAATAATTTCATCAAACCAAACCAATTATATATCTTTATGAGTGCATTAAACCCTCATAATGTAAATTTACATAATTCTTTTAAATTGACATCTTTTACATTAAAATTATAGGGTAATACAGTATTAATGCAATATTGTATATAATATGTATGCTTTAGAAAACTTGTGAACATTTTTGAGAATATTACTGTTATATATTTTAAAACGGATATTACATTAGTCATTTTATTTTATAAATTATTAAGAATATTATTAAAGAGGCATTAAATTATTTTTACTTTTTATTTACTAATTATGTTATATGAAATATCTAAAATACTGTATATGTGTCATTTACTTAAAGTTATTTGTATAATAATTCCCATTCCCAACATTTTTTTACTCATTTTAAAAATTAATATGAATTAAATAACTAAAAATTAAATGATTCACTTATGTTTCATCTATCTATAACCCAAAGCGTAATAATGTTCTAAAAGCATAACTTGTTATTAAAAACTTTACTAGAAAATTATATATGAAAAACATTTTACTAGTAATTGTTATACAGTACTAAAACTTATACTTATACTCTGTACTATAGAATAATTGCATTAAATTCATTGAAAACTTCATTTATTATTATATGATTAAAGCTCATTAGGAATGTGTTAAGCACTAAGTGTTGAGTTCAATACAATTACACAATTATCATATACAGCATTATATGATATATGATATATATGATAATGCTGTACCGATATAATGTGATCTCATGTAACATAATGTTGTGTTTCATTGTAATTACTAATTACTTTCAATCCTATATCATTTGATTAATTGCTATCAATTGACTGACAGATTATGACTTTAGTTTGAATGAGTGTCGTGTAATGATGAGCCACTGTTGGGTAATCCGGGTTCTTTATTACGTATACAATGCATGTATTCTTATGCATTGCACATTGTTTCAGACCTTGACCATTTTTCACACACAATTAAATATATAAATATATAAACATTTATTAAATGCCAATAATAAAAATTTACGTTTTATATTATTTTTATTTAAATAATTATGATATTAAATTATTTTTATTAAAATATTAATTGAATCGAAATTGATTTATTCAGTAGATACAGTATTTATAGGGAGGTTTGCATTTTGATGATATACTTTATTATAATAACATTATATTTCATGTGAAAATTTATTCTTTGTCTTCCCTTACATTTAATAATTTAGTAAATGGTCTGTAAACAGTAATTGCCATTTGACGGCTATGTTACTTAATATTAAACAGTCAAGAGTCTTTCACAGAATCTTAAAGTACGACTAAGAATATTGTGTCACAAAGACAAATTTTGTCATTAAAATATGTGGACATATCACTACAAATATTGTGTTCATATAAATGATTGTTTTCATTGAATGTAAAATACTTAAATCGTAGTAACAATTGAATCTTTGAGGCATAAATTGTTGACATTATTTGTTTGACTTATATTTGTAATGTCATGATTTGGTTTCAAGTGAGTCTTGTACACAATAATTCGTATTAATATGAATGCCATCAAACTTATGACTGCTAAAGATGTGCAATAGTATAGCAACACTTCAGGGTTGTCCTCCAGAAAGGGTCCCTCAATGAATTGGGTGCCGATCTCTAGTAAACCCAATAGTGAGACATATATTGTGCCGATTCTGTCGGTCACCTCGAAGTAGGTCTCGATATAGGAGAAGGTGGCCGACCAGAACGTCGCTATCCCTATACCTGATTTAAAACACACTTTATTCATATAAACATATTATAATTAATAGAAACTCTAACTTCAAAGAGCTGACACCATTATATCGACACTACATAATCAAGTAAATATCTGTGATAACAATTCAAATAATACCTTTCAACTATGCTCTCTTATGTTACTTTTCAATACATTTCAGCCAAACAGTAGTATACAGTATAAGAAGAGTTGAAAGGAATAATTTAATTTATGACACATTTTATAATATTGCAACTAATCTATGCATTGAGCATGGTGGAAAAATAGACACATTTACTGACCAAATAATATATTTCCCGTCCACATGACTATAGTGTGATGGTTGGCAAAATATAAGAGCACCAGGCTAGCAAATACAATCACGTAATGTACAGCTAGTATATATTGGGGCCGCACTCTTATGGCCACATATATACTACAGGCGCGCGTCAATGTATAGAAAGCTGTCATGACTGCCAACATAATTGCAGTTTTGTTACCTATGATTTAATTGAATGTTATTATGGTATGTTATTATACTGTATATTAAATAAAGTGAAATACAAATACCCTTCACGTTGGAGTAATATCGGAAAAAAGTTGGCGAAAAGTCAATGAATGCGGTCTCGCAGACGATAATAGTAGAGAAACATACGGCACCCAACCCTATGATCAACAAACGGGACATTTCCGATGTCTCCTCATACAAGTGGTCGTCCAAACTGTCGATTACTTGGAACGAAGAAAATCTTCTCTTTCGTTGCATTGTTTGCAACCGTTTAGAGTCCCGGCGCTCATAATCAGTCAAATTAAAGCCGGTCACTTGTATGGAGAACCTTGGTGCTCTCGGTGCTCTCT